TCCCTCCTGTTTTATTAGATAGCCCCAGAGAACACTCATATCTAAGTAACTGAGAAACAAGAGGTTCTGTGTTGCCACACAGGCCCAGTCTCTGAAGCAGGACAGAAACCATGAGTTGGGAGTAGGGGTGGATACATTCCCAAAGACTTTGAGAAGTCAGTTAACCAAACCAGAGTCCTAGGAAGGCAGTAACAAGTGCCTAAGAACAATTTCCAAAATTCTACAAAACTGAAGGGAATAGATACTATCCTCCTAAGGGACTACTTAAAATAATTAAAATGTCAACCTCCTTTGTTTTTTAATTGGAATTATGTCAGCTTAGTTTGGTTTTCTCGCACTTATGAAATATTGATGGCATTTATGTGATCTCTGTTAGGGAAAGGGGGAGGGATCATTCTGTAATAACTGCCGTCTTGTAAACATGAATACTTCAAAACAGGGACTCTATGGGGTTGATTGCATCTCTGACCATCTAACCTTTATCTTTGAATTGTTAGCACGTCAGAAAATTTGCATAATTACTTTGCACTTCAGCCCTCCCTGAGCTACATTTTAGCATTAAATCCTCCATTTTTTTAATCCATAAAAATAATCCTAGGGATATCTACATCACTTCATGTATAAGCACAAGGCTCGGGGAACATGGCAGAAGAGTGGGAAATGGTTATAGGAGCCAAAGGTCAGACAGGACTGGAGTGGAACAATCCCTGCACATGACAGAATCGCTGCTTTCATGACCTCACAGCAGCTGCGTTTGCCTGCACATGGCCAAGTTAGCCAGTCACCCCTGATTGAGTAGCTATGCGTGGTTTTTGGCTTTGAGGGAGGAAAAGTTAGTTTTCTTTAAGGATGTAGCCCCCAGGAAGCTTATCATGCTCCAATAAATAAGTACATGGGAAGCACAAATTGGACTGGATAGGTTATTTAAATAGAGGAGAGGACACAAAGTTGAGAAGTAGAGAGATGGGAAGGAATCTGAGAGAAGTTATGGGTGGGAGTGAAGAGGGTGAATGTGCTCAAAACACACGGAGGCAGTTTGAATGAGAGTGGCTTGGTCACCAGAGAGTGGAACTGTTTGAAAGGATTAGAAGGATTAGGTGGTGCTGTCTTGTTAGAGTAGGTGTGGCCTTATTGAAGAAAGTGTGCCCCTGGGGGTGGGCTTTGAGGCTTTAAAAGCCCATTCCAAGTCATGTGTGCATGCACGCATGTCTGTCTGCCTGCCTGCTGTCTGTGGATTGCTCGTAAAGCTCAAAGCTATGACTCCAGTGCTTTCCACCATGATGATTGTAGACTAAGCCTCTGAAACTATAAGCAAGCCCCCAATTAAATGCTTTCTTTTATAAGAGTTACTTTGGCCACAATGTCTCTTTACAGCAATAGAACAGTAACAAAGACATACATTGTGCAAAATTCTCAAAGAAGTCATAAAAATAGTATATTTTTAAAGGAAAAGATTGCTCCAAAAGCTGTAGAGAGATGGTTCAGCAGGTAAGAGTGCTTGATGCTTTTCTAGAGGACCCAAGTTAAGTTCCCAGAATCCATACTGGATAACTTAAAATCACCTACAACTCCAGCATCAGGGATTTGACATCCTGTCCTGGCCTCCATAGACACTGCACTCACATGTGCATACCCCACCCACACACACACATAATTTAAAATGTTAATGTATAAATCTTTTAGAGAGAAAGAGAGAGAGAGATCATTCCAGCTTTATATGTGAACTTGAAAACTTAATCTCGTATATGTTGTTCGGGGTCTTTAAAGGAAATTATACTTTGGTAATTGAAAAAAGTTTGCCCTACCCACCCCCACAACAAATCAGTTTACTCCTGCTGCTGCCATGAGCCACAGTTCCTGTTTCTCTGTCTACCAGGAAGCTTGGCATGAAATTCTGTCTCCCTTACATCTGTCAACTTCTATCATCTTCATTTCTCCTGAACTTCCCTACTTGCCCCAGACTGCACAGGTATTTTTTACCTGTCTTTTTGCAAAATGAGCCATTTGCATTCTTTTCTTTATCAGTCTCCAACTCAAGACTTCCATTTTGAGAGGAAGACAAACAGATGCACACCTAAGGGTCTTCCCTTGTCACACCCCTTGGAATGGGCTCCTCCAGCTTGCCCTGCTGAGGGGCAAGCCTGAGCACCTTCCCACCAGTGTTCCCTATCAAGGCACAGCAGACCCCACACATGAAACCGTCATGTTGCTGACGCCCTATTCCCTAGGAAACAGGACCCCCTCCCCAGTTCACAGTCTATGACCAACTGTCCTTGCCTTTGCACAGACTCTGCATCTGGGCTGCTGGCTGCCTTGGTGAGTGAATGGATTGGGCTCATGTCCCCCAATGCTGTATATGCTGGCTGTGAAGGGGGAGGGGAGGAAAGGGGCAGAGAAGAACAACCCAACCCAGTTCCGACTGTGTAGCCTGACACCACAGTGATGGCAGTTACTGTGGGAGGCATGTAGCATTGTGCCACACAGCCCCATGTACTGGCTGCTCCCTATACTAGTCCTCCACAACAGTGTGACTCACGTTTGGGAGGCGTGTAGATCTCCATCTAACCCTGTTTTGCTAAAAAGGTCTGACATGCTCAAACAGTATCTACCTACATGCAAAGGACACTTAATCTGATGTCTTTGTGGCCTCCTCGGTATCAAATGAGACTCCTTTAATACCAGCCAGTCTACTAGCAATAGTCATTAAAGTGCTAATGGATCAGACAAAAGTGGTACCCACCCATCCCAGCTCTGTTCCTCTGGGGCTGTATTAATATGATTTTGTGGACAAGAACTTTTCTTCTAAAAGCCCCAGTACACACACACACACACACACACACACACACACACACACACACACACACACACACACCTATCCCCGGCCTTGGCTCAGCTGGAGGCTTGGGGAATGTGAACATCAGGGCTGAGAAAGAAAGTATTCACTCACATATGCAAGCAAGTGGAGGTGCCTAGCACAGGTGCTAACCCTGATCTAGAAAAACCATCTTCAGAATAAGCAGAAGGGATACAGCACCTGCCTCCAAAGTGAACCATGTCAAACCTCACTAGACTGTTCAGAACCAAAGGCCAGCCTTTCTACTCCCTCCTGTGTGTGTCTGGTGAGTGTCCCTCACAAAATGCAGGTCCTTCTGTTGTTGTTTTTGGAAAACAAATGTTTCCTTCCAAGATTCCCCTCCCGGGTAATATCTACGCTCAGGACGCTGAGTCCCTGGACACATTACAATGGATCTGTGCAGGTCTGAGATCTCAACTTCATGATTTCCTCCACATCTTTTTGGTCTCTCTGGACCCTACTGGGTTATGATCCAAGCTATCACTGACATGGAAGATGCTCAACTGATCCTACACCATACCTCACTCTTTCTCCACATTCCCACCACATACAGGATGTGGCTCTCTGCAAATGTGGCTTGTTCTCATTTTAGTCACCTTCCAAACACACTTTTAAAAGGAGTAATGCTGGCACTCCACAGACTGCCATGTCTCATCTTCTCCAATCCACAAGCCTCCCTCACTGCAGGAAGTAGGCTTAATCTACCCCCAGCCTGGGGATCAGAGCCTGATTAATTTTTACAAACACATGTATCCTCCCCAGTACAAGTTACAGCTTCTTTGTCTGTTTATACGACCCCCTGTGAGGCCAACTACCCCAAATGCTATGGATATGGAGAACAGCAAGGGCCATGTGGCTGAGCACACAGAAGGATGCCAGAACCTTCCACCTGTGTGAAGTCTGGGACCCAGAACTGTTGGGAGAAAGTGTTTTTCTTGTCTATGCACAGCCTGGAGGAGTAGTCACAGCCTCACTCAGACCTCCAACCCCCAACTTCTTCCTAGGCAGAGCTGTGTTCTACAGATGGCCTACAATGGACTCGGGCTCCAATGGCTGCCTTCTGTCTGAATCTGTGAACATTTCCTGTTGCCATGGGCACTGCTCTCAGCTCCCAATGGCCTGTGCTGCTCTGTGGTCCCAAGGCTCTCCAAAGGCTATCTCAGTGTTGGCCATCTGTCAGGTCAGGAAGGAAGCTAAGTGGGAGACTAGGAATTGAGAAAACTCAGAAAAATCATTCAAGAAAGGGACTCAACAACCATTTGAGAAACAACACTGTATGGGAAGTGACAGAGACAAAGAGAGAGGATCCTATCCATAGATCACCACCCATGCTTAACACAACCACCATCTACCCCAGTACCCTCCTGAGAGATGTAGAAAATGCTCAAAACCCAGCCCCACCCCTTTCCTTAGAATGCCTAGGGAAAAAAGAACTTGGGAAGAAGTAATTCTCTTTTCTTGGGAGCTGCTTTACTGAATTTTGTTATACTAAGTGACACAAGGAGAATTCACTGGGAAGGTTTTTAAACTGTGCATGCACTGTTCTAATTGAAAACTGCCTCCCACACCATCTAAACTGTAAGGCACACAGCCTACACAGCACAACCTCCTGGGATGATTTTTCCGCCAGACTGGTTCCAGAACTTCATTCCATACCAATCGAACAAACTGAAATCTCCAGGTGAGACGCTGGCTCAGAACTCATGAGAACATTTCCCATGTGGTTTCAATCTACTCACATTTGAAGAACCTCCTAGTTTTTGGAAGAGCAAAAGCCACCATTGTGACCACAGTCATGCGCACATAGCATCTTTGGTGCTGTTTTCCCTCACCAAACAGATATGCCTGATGGTTCTAGACCTTCTGGAGCAGCAGAAAAGGAGGTGCAACAGGAAAAAAATGAAGGTGAGATGTTTGGCTTCCCAGACACCATGGCCCAGGTTTCAGTCAGTCAGATGGACAGAAGGACGGACAGACACCAGTTCTTCTCTGTCCCACCCACCTCATGGCCACATACTTAGGATCCCTGGGGAGACAAGTTTGACTTCAACTCCATGAAAGCCACATCCACCTGGCCCATATCCCAAATAATCCACATGCATCCAACCCTCCAGAGGCCCAGAATCCAGGAGAAACAAGTGCATACTTTCTTGGTGGGGACTTTGATCTTCAAGAATTCTGCTTCCCTGGCCAGCACCTGCCACGGGGCGTGGATCCGGACAAAGACAGACCCCTGGCTTTTGTTCTGCAAGACACAAAGGGAAAAGAAATAGAGACACTGGTAAGAACACACAACACTTCTTAGTTCCCATCTCTAGAAGCCCAGACATCTCGTTCCTTCAGCTTTGGACTTTTGCCCCCTTTAAATGACTGTAGAAGCCAGTTTCACACACCCATACCCAACTTATCCTTTCTGCTCCAGATATGTTCTGGTTCCAAAGTGTCTGTGTTCCCAAGTGTGGTCCTCGGAGACTGGTAGCTTCATGGGGAAAATAAAATAAGTTCATATACAAATTTGAAAATTACGCCATTATGATTTCCGTGGCAATTGTACTAACGCAGTAGTAAACGGTCAGCTAACCACTGCTGGTATTCAAGTGTGTCTCCAGCCATGGGCTTTATTGGCCACTGATCCAACCTGTGCTTCTGTTCCTCTATTGTGCTGGGTGGTTGGCCCAGATCACAAAAGTGACCACACAAGCCTAAGAGTGAGTGGCATAAATAGCAAGGCAAATGCCCCCTTCAAAATAATGCCAAAACACTGGACCCTAAGCACCGTACAGTGTGACCACAGTGTGAGTCTGCATCCCAGGACAAGCAATCATCACACTGCACGCAATGTCACTCAAAGGAACTGAGATGCAGTGATGAATGCTGGAGAAGTAGGTTAAGTCAGTAATCTACTTGGCCTTGGTCGCCAGGCCTGAAATAAATACTTGCCAGATTGCACTAGAGATTCACCCTCATCTTCGAATATAACACAGATAATAAATTCTTTGGGATACTAGTTAACTTTGTCACCAAAGAATGAAAGAGGACAAAAGCTGAGTAGTAAAACCTGGCATAAAGCCCACTATTTCTGATGCCTTTAAAATAAAAACAAATTAAACAGTCACAAATACTGTGTGCAGAGAGACTGTGGGCGTGCCAGTTGTGAATTTCTTCATCAAATGACTATTGGAAACTACACAGAAGCAAATGAGGTAGCAAATGTACCATTTGTGTTGGGATAAAGCCATTGAGGTAGATTATCTCTAGAAATGCTGGGTGGAGACAGCTCCCATTCACTCCTGGACACCCACGCACTAGAAGAGAGGAGGGTTTTATTGACCAAACATAGACTTTGTGAAGCAAGGTGCATGAGGTCATGCTGAGAAGACAGGGACTCTGTGTGCAGTTGACATATGCAGGCATTCCTTTTGAAGCTCATTCCCCAGGTTCATGTACAGAAAACCAAGCTTCATGATCTTGGTTTGGAGTTAAAGGTAACAGTGGAAGCCATGAACTCATAGCTTTGACTATGCCTTTCCAGTGTGCCAGGGAGACAAACAGCTATGGAAGGGACTGCTTTCCCCTCTGACTATGAAAGCATTCACAGGTCTTTGAAATGAAGACAGATATTTTAGAGCTCTCATGATATAAAGGGAGAATAATTATGATTCTTAAATGGTGACTCTAACACAAGAGTCGAGACGAGAGACGAGAGAGAGAGACAGAGAGAGACAGAGACAGAGACAGACAGAGAGTCAGAGACAGAGTCAGAGATAGAGACAGAGACAGACAGAGACAGAGAGAGCTAACATTTAGGGATGAAAGCTCATCATTTGTAAGGTAGAAGAATGGGGAATAAGCCAGACAGGCAGGTGTGATGGTTGTCTTTATTTTATAGTTGTGGAAACCAAGCAAGGAAGATTCTAATGATTTCCCAATATGATGAAAAAAAACAGAAATATGATAAAAAATGATTTTCAAAACCAAGAAGTGTTTGCTCCCCCCTGATGGTTTTTCTCCACTCAGTGGAGAGAGACATGCATTGTAATTGGCTGGAACCACCTGCCAGTCACTACACAAGCAAATCAGAAGGCACATAAGGAATCTAGTGACTGCCCTCTGATGCACACTCTGCCTCCCAGTTCCCCGGGTGCAGCACAGTTCTGACACAGCTGGGAGTGTCCTTTGGTAAGAAATCTCCCAGGTTTCCACTTCCACTCCCAGGCTGGAATGTCCAGGATGACTAGACAGTGTCATCGATCACTTGCTGCTATTTCTAACAGTAACTTGAGCTTTTGCTCAGTGAAATTCAAAAGTAAAAAAATGAACCATCTGCAAGGTGGCCCTCTGTAGCCTCTGCTCTCTGTTGTGGTCCCACAAAAGATGTTGTCGATGAAAGGTGACAAGCAGCATCATCCCTCACACTTAGACAAAATCAAGACACCATTAATTCTAATATCTTATGCTTTGTCTTTATTTCTGAATTGAGACAAATGTCTTTCTAACTTTATTGAGACATTGTGTCTTGAGCTCATGCCAAATGTACACTAAGTGGGTACAGATGTTCAAAGTTTAAAAAAGGGTTGGGAGAGCAAAGGCTAAATTCCACGGCAGTGGTGGCAGACTGTTAGCTGTCCCCAGACGGTCATTCTCATTTTCTTCATTTTCCACCGAGCAGATGGTCCTCTAGGATCAAGACTATATGTTCTTTGCAGTGAGGCGTTCCCAGAATTTTGGTAATTGCTGGCCAACATGATGAATGTGTTACAAAGCAGCTCCAGCAGCCTTCTTCAAAGACAACAACAGGTACCTCTGACTCTTCATCTTCTTCCCTCCCTGTATCTGTTGCCTGGATACAGGCTTGTAACTCAGACCTTGAGGTCAAAGTCCAGACCAGTAACATCAAAAAAAAAAAACAAGAGAGAATCTGGGTCTAGGGCTGCCCCCTGCATCTATATGGGAAGGACAAAATTCTGCTTTGTTGGAGCCTTATGATTTTAGAGGCTCTGCCTGTTGCGGCATAGCTTTACCCCAACTGAGGCAAGATTGTTTCTCAATGGGGATGCTAATTTCCTGCGGCAGAGTATTCGCTTTTCCATTTTCTGTAAATAGAACTTGCTTGAAATGACAGTCAAAGCTGGGATGTGGTTTTGCAATGTGAACAGGCAGTATTCGTGTTCCTTTCATGTGATAAAATGTTACCTTCCTAAAAAAGATCAGCACCCGGGCTGATGTGAGCTGATGAAGAAAAACATGAAAACCATGAGCCAAGCTCTGTCTTGCAAACACAGGGATCTACAATTGGAGGTTAACATGCATTAAGTTAAAAACAAACAAAAATGTTTCTTGTCACTGGTCCCAGGTGCTGTCTGTTCCACTCTGTTTGGGGACTTGGGTTCGTTGGAGGCACAGTAGAGGAATAGGAGGAACTTGAACTTCTAATTCCAACAGACAAAGATTTGAACCTGTATTTACAGCTGTGGGAACCTGGACCAGTAAGTCACTTAACCATGAGCCTCAGTTTCTCCAAAAAAAAAATAGGAGAGTTAAAAACAGTTCAGAACATTGAGGATTTGAGATAAAGTCCCTTTTAGTGTGTCTTGTTGGAGAATGTTCCGTGAATGTGAACCTTTTCCAGGCTCCACTCAGATAGCAAGCCTGCTTCTTAACTGCAAGGACAGTATCCAGCTCTTTTATATTCATTCCTCAAGTCCTTAACACAACATTACACAAAACAGTGAGTCCCCACTGGGAAAACTGGTTCATGAATCAGTAAACTGTTTCTGTTAGGAATCACACTTTAAAAATTATCAACAGGATTTTTAAAATATCCCTTGTGCCACAAAGGAACTCGAAGACTCAAGACAGGAAGTATCTGCTTTCTGAGAACAGAGTCGGAACACACTGCTCACATGAAATTTGACATAAAGCATAAGACATTCACCATCTTACCCTTTCCTAAAATACATTTTATAGCTAAACGTTTTGTCTGGAGGACCCCAAACCCAACCAGAAAATAGCATTAAAGTTCATATCAGGCCAAGCGGTGGTGGTGAATGCCTTTAATCCCAGCACTGAGGATGCAGAGGCAGGTGGATCTCTGAGTTAGAGACCAGCCTGGTATATAAGAACTAGTTCCAGGACAGCCTCCAAAGACACAAAGAAACCTTGTCTCAAAAAACCAAAAATAAAATAAAATAAAATAAAATTCATATCAAATGCACTGTAGTATCGAATGTGACTGTCAGCAGCAGAAAGAGGTAGTGTAAGAAACCTTAAGCTAGCCAGGCGGTGGTGGCACATGCCTTTAATCCCAGCACTCAGGAGGCAGAGGCAGGTGGATCTCTATGAGTTCGAGGCCAGGCTGGACCGACAGCCTCCAAAACAATACAGAGAAACCCTGTCTCGTAAAACAAAAAAAACAAACAAACAAACAAACAAAAAACAAAGAAACCTTAAGCTACTAATCTTCTCACCAAAGGTTACCAGTTTCTTTGAACTTTTGTTAGTTAGCTCCCCAAATGTGCCCGAAACTAAGCACACAACAAAGACCTGGGTTCACAGAGCAGGCCAGGAAAATCCAACTTTTCACACTGTGGATTGTGGACCCCGTATGGTGTGGCTTGACTGAATGTGGGAGTTATAAAGTTGTGTGCAATAGTAAAATGTTTCTGAATGCACAACAGCCAAAAGTTAATACAAAATCAAACAGGTGTTAAGTCTGAGGTGTTTCCGGAGATAATCACCTGAGATATACCATGAGAATTCATCAAAGCCTTGGTTCCAAGCACACAACATGTGTACTTTGCGCCACACCACACAAAGCCAACAGGTGCTACCCAAATCACCTCACTGGGACAGGAGACTCCTACTTGGCTGTTTGCTTGTTTGGTTGGTTGGTTGCGTGCGTGCTTGCTTGGTTTGTTTGTTTGTTTGGTTTGGTTTGGTTTTGGGGGGCAGTGTTTTCTCTATATATACACAATTTTCTGTTCTTACATAAACAGAATACTTTCATCATGGAAAAACCAAGAATTTTAATATTGTCCTTGGCCTATAAAGAACTAAATTAGTACATCTCTGGACTGTACTGTGTTAGTATGTATAATTTAAAAATGGCTGAGTTGAGCTTCATTTACAAACCGTTAAATGAATTTTGACTTGAGATCTAGATAGTCTCCAGCAATTTCTAAAATGATCTTAAATATACTTGTGCGATTTTATACCACATATTTATGTGAAGTAATGTTTTCAGCA